AACTGGACTAAGGTACAACTGGCTGTGGCTGCACTTTACCAGTAGCTTATGTGTTTCTGGAGGGAAAAAGGTGGATGCAATATTCCTTCATCTTGACAGCCTTACTAGAGATTCAATGCCTTTACAACAGTATGTTTAGTTTCTATTTTCCTTAGCCTTTGAACGCACCTCATTCTTAAGTCATTGAAAGCTATAAGCACACAGTTTATTAAGAATATGCAGATTCGAGCAATAATTCTTGCCTCTATGCTTTCGACTGTAACTGAGCATCATAATCCATGTTAAGAAACGAAAGGTACTGCAGTATTAGATGTCTCATATGTCTTCTGTGAATATGAATTGTAAATATTGGAGAAATATATATCAAACCTGCTTTTTTTTAGGCCCATTCTTGCACAGAAAGATGAGACCTGGTTGTATTTTTGTGTCCCATAGGTCAAAGCTTATTTGGTTTGTTTTTTTTTTTTTATAATTTGCAATACATTTGGGTTTCTGTTCTTCTCATTTTCTGAATGCTTTTAAAGGTTTGTCATCTTTTAGCAAGGCACTTTTTTATAAAGGAGGAGTATCTAACGTGTTGAAGAGTGACACCTAAAATCACGTACACGCTCTGATCTGGTTTTGTAACAACGCATTAACTCTGACTAAAGTCTGTCGAAGGACCACCAGGCGGGTGATTTGGAGTATTCTGGCGAGCAATCCTAAATTTGATGAATTAAAAGCCTGATTTATAATCTAAAAAACCAGTCTGTGAGTAAATGTAAAAATGAACTTGCTGCTCGAACAAACTCAACAAGTTTCACCTCTGATCGGAAACCGTGTGTTGTTTACGTCCATTAGAGGTTTTACTGTTTTAGTTAGTATTGTCCTCCACAGCGGGTTTCGCTTTCCCGCCGTGTCTCACTTCCTGCCTGACTCATGACATTCCCGTCAAACTGCTGCGTTGGTCCGAAAAAACAGACCCCTGGCCTGGCTTGGTTGGACCATCGAGGGTGATTGAATGTTTAATTTTTTTTATTTCTTGTGGTAGTCATTCAGGCATAGTACAACCTAACCTTTTTTTTTTAATGTTGGAACATAAACCAAACGGCTTTAGCGTTTTGGGGGTCATGCAGGAAGTTGGTTGAAGAGACGGAACAAAAAGAGCCCCCACCTTAGTTTCGACTGTTAGAAAACCGGCAGGATCTACCTTTTCAGCACGCGCAATCCAAAGATATTTTTCCACATCTTTGTATAGTTTGAAGTTTCTGATGTACATTTTTTTTTTTTTTTATGAGATGTGTTATCTATTATTGGAATCGTAAATGGGTCTATATCATGGATCTGTTTAAAAGAAAAAAAGGAGAAAAAAAAACAACATAGGAAGGTTGTGGAAATGGAGGAAACTGCTCAGCTCGGTAGAGCAAATAGAACCTGAAACGTCTCATTTTCTGGAAGTTTTCCCTTCAGGGAAAAAAATAGCATGTTTTGCTGTGTTCAAGAAATACCAATGTAACGACATCCACTTTGAAACATATCAAATATTTCCTCTATTTTTTCAGGAAGCAGCATTGTTCAACTGTCCAGATTTTGTTACTTCAAGGAAAAGGAACTTTGTAGAGTTGGATGAAGTGCAAAAGAGACACATTTTTAGTTTTTCTTTGTTTGGAGGTGGAATAAGCTGACATTTTACGGGATGTATATGACAAATTTCTCTCTGTTGATGTTGATATTGTTGTAAATACAAATTTATATTTAAACGTTCTCGAGTCTGCATTCATTACTGAACACACATAATCAGTAAATATAAAAAAAAACATTCCTCATTCTTTTAAAAGAAAAAAATGCTTTTACTTTCCCTTATTACAGCAGCATAATAATAAACACCTGCATGCGTTAGCCAATTTAACTTGTAATCTTTTTTTAAATGATTCTCACCATTTAATCACCCATGTAAAACTTCAACTAAAAATCTGCTTTTACATGCACATAGTTACCATGTTAAAAATGCACATCTAAAATTAGACTAAAGGAAATAAAATATTTTAATGTTCTGTTTTTAACTGATTATAAAATTGTTTTATGTAATTTTAAATATCCGAACCCTGAGTCTTGTTATCAAGCTCTTTTTTTTTTTCATTTTAACTCTAATTTGATTTATAATTAGGTGCTAGAATATCAACATTTACATTCAGCAAACTATTGAAGTGTTTTCTTGAGCAGTTTAAAGGGCTGTGTTCACTCCTGGACCACAGCATTACCCTCTTTACACCAAACAATACATGTAAACACTCCTGTTTTAATAATTGGCTTGCATTTTTTTTTTTTTTTTTTTTTTTGGGTTACTGGTGTGATGGTCCACCTTTCGTTCAATGCATGCAAATCCTGCAAACGAACGTCCTTCCAGTTCGAGATTTTCAAATCTGAAAATGTCTCTAGTTTTTACAAATTTTGTCTACATGAAAATAACATTACATTACATTTTTTCACCAAACATTGATTAGTCAATGAGCGAACTGATCTAATCCAGTGGTTCCCAAAACAAAAAACAGGGAAAGCTAATGTATTTGTTTAGTATAAAAGTATGACCAGTAAATTAAAGGATATAACATTTACTACCAATAAAGAAAATTGAAATCATATTAAAAATTACTCTACCTTAAGGAACCACTATTCCATTTATCGGTGGTTACTTTTGGTTCTGTTATTTAACTAATAGATTGCGGATTTACTGTTTTTTAAAATCTTGTTCATTTTCTTCTGATGAAGCAGCAAACGTTTGGATTAAACAATATTAATTATAAGGAACGATTGAAGAGAATGAGCTCTAAATTGTTTCCATATATTTTCTATGATTCCATGTAAAAGTAGAAAAGCTACATCTCTGCAAGTTTGCAAAGTTGCCATGTAACCAGAAGAGGGCGCTGTTGTCACAGTTTTTTTCCTTCATTGTTGCGATCCTGGTTGTAATACATTAAAACGTCACTAGAGGGAGCCAAACGAGACGATACAAGGATCCATCCGCTTCTGTATATTTAAGGATTAAAAGAAAAATACATAATTGTCATATGAAGAATCTCAACCACAGCAGAGCTCTGATTGTATATATTGATAAAAGAATATAAAAGATGACAGAGACCAACACAGTGGGCTTAATCGGATTACACAATGATCATTTACATCTGGTTTATGTTGCAGATTATTAAATATTTGCTGAATAGCAGAATCAGGAGCAGTTTGATAGAAGCCAATAAAGATCTTGTATGTGTTAAGTAACTCCACACAGAGCCAGACAGCTCCTGAAATGAAACAAGAGCATTTTCTGCTTTCTCTCTGTGTATATTAATAGGTAACTTATGGAGTATGAGTGTACTGTGGGAATCTCTCTCTCCTCCCTCTCCTTGTCTTTGGCGTGATTCCCAGCCCATCTGCGGCCTGGCCCGCGGATTACTGTTTGTTAATGTTTCAATCAGCTGTGTGTTGAGGAATGTGGAGCTATTTAACCTGAACTTCCCCAGGTGTGCCGAGGCGCCGCTCAGTCTGGGCCCCGCCGCCCTCCCCTGCCCTTGGCACAAAGCTATCACACAAACACAATCACACACTGGCCGCGGCGGGGCTGCAGCTGTGCGCATCGCACCGCAGGGAAATGGGAAAAACATTGCACCAGGGAGACAGAATAAATCTTAGAGCGAATCGCCTCGCCAAAACGCCTTTTTTTATTTTTTCCCCCTAACCGCTGAAAGAGTGGCCGAAACAGAGCTGCAGATTTACGCGATAACATATAGGAACAGAACATTCAAATTATTTGTTAGTTTTTTTTCTTCTTTCCTCATTAACCTTTTTTTTTTCATTCCTGTTGAATATTAAACCGAAATAGTTTTGCTTTAAGGTTGGACTACATCTTTATTTATTGAGGTTTCCGCTTGTAATGTGATACACTAATGGCCCACAGAGAGGCAAATGAGCAATTTAACTACATGGATATGAGCCATTATGTTTACCACCAGCTGCTGGATGTTAGGCTACCTGTGAAGAAGGCCCAAAGAGAAAGATATATTTTTAATCAATGATAATCTGAAATCCTGAGGCAGGGGTTTATTTAGAACATCACTGTAGAATGATCCTACCTTTTAACAAGAGATATTATCTAGAAAGGTTTTGTTTTAATCATGAAAACAGGAAGTATTTTGTTTATTTTTCTATCATTACTGCAAACCAGTAATCAATTAACCAATTAAATATGCATCTGACTCCTGCATCTGCATTTCAGTGCTGGGCATTGAAAAAAAAAAACTGCCAGATAAAAAAAAAGCGGTACATTTTTTGCCTCCTATAAAATTTTTAAAAGTGAAAAATATAATGCAAACTGCTTTTGGCATATAGTTAATCTTAGTTACCTTAACACAGTTTTATGTTAGCAGGGTAGGACTTAAAACAATTGTGTTAAAGTAACTAAATATGATTAAGTAAATGCCAAAAGTGGTTGCATCATTTTTTTCAGAGTGACTGTTATGGTCAGTTTAAACATCTCATCACAGCTCCATGATAAACAGTTAAATTAGACATGTTACCTGTACATAAATTTTCAAGCTTAGAATATATCAGATAGATATTAGGGTTTTGGTGATGGGTAAAAGTGGGGCCCCAAATCAAAGTCATCAGGGCCCCATATAAGCTTTATCTAACCATGAATGGGAACACTTTCTGGCAATTGTGTGAAGTTTAGTGGCCTGTTTTCATTCTGAAGTAATAAAACATTCAGACCTGTGTAAAATCACACCTCTTAAGCAGCAAAAAGTGAAATTATGTAAATAAATCTGGAGGTCATGAATTCATCCTGCTGTAGTATTTCTCAGTCAGAAACAAACAAGACAAAGGTTTCATGTTCAAAAAATAGTGTTCTTGTTTTAATAAAAACGCAAATAAAGTACATTGTAAGAAAACAATATCTTCACATACTGTGGCATTGTAATATACAATACAGTTTGTCACTCAGGAATCTGAGAAATTATTTTTTCTTCTTTTACAAAATGTTTGGAATTCTTTATAGGATTTACAAAATACAAAAGAGCATGGCAGAATCACAAGTTGTTGTTTTTCAGAAACTCTACAAGCAACAAGCCGACGTTAGTCGCTCTGAACTTTAGTCTTGGTCCCCCTGACTAACCCAGTCTAGATCTGAACACCACCGCTCTCTGAGCCCTCGGATGAATCGAGAGCTGAGTGACAAGAGTCCGCAGCGACCGGAGGATTCCCAGTCTGGTTTTCTAGCATTTGATTCTGGGAGTTTTGAAACATCCCGATACAGTTCAAGGCGCTAGATTTCGATGTGGTCCAGAAGTCCCTCTTGGTTCGCCTTGTTGGTTCTCCTCTGGCGCAGGCTTCCATGGTGATGGAGATGATGCTCAATCAACTCTTAACGGCACATTATCCTCTCTTCTGAGCAGCCATTCTACAGAAGGAAAGAAAAAAAAAGGAGCTGGTCAGTGCATGTTGGTCACAGATGTTCTACGCGTAAAGGCTGCGCATTTACGCACAGGTTTGGCAACTTTACGCACGTGCATTCTCGTTTTAGGAAACGCTTTAATCTATGATATTTACCTCCACTGAGATGCTGGCGAGCTCTGCGTTCAGCGTGGTCAGCGGCGTGCGTGGGACGGCGTGCTGCTGGCGGCTCTTCTCCGGCTCATCCAGTTCGACCTGCAGGTCCCAGATGTAATCGATGACGTGCTGCAGAATCTCCACCTTGCTCGCCTTCTTGTTGGTGGGCAGGGTGGGCACCAGCTCTTTCAGCTTGCTGTAGCAGCTGTTCATGTCCTGCAGGAATACGCTCATCTGCTCGTCCAGCAGCGGGATCTTGCACTTGGAGATGGCCAAGCTCTGCTCGGAGAGGCCGATCTCTCCGCCGACCTTGCTCTTCAGGGCGCAGGTAGATCCGACAACCTTCATCTTGTCTTTAGCTTCCACAGATGCTGAGGCTTTGATAGATACGGTAGGCTTCTCCTCCTTTCTTAGAGATGTCGACAAGTCTGTGTTGACAGTTCGCAACGTCCACATGGGGAAGCCTCCTTGATTTTATAGGAAAGCAGCCGGTCGGGGGGCGTGTCGGAGCGGTTCTGTTTGAAGGAGGACAGCCAATCAGAGGCGGTCTAAAGCATCCCTGTCAGCCAATGCCTGCGCTCGGCTGGTTATCGGAATTTACAATCTGTTTGAGGGATGGCGTTACAAATGGAAACAAATGTGTGTCTTTTATGGGTAATATGTGGGAATCCAGCTGTCCACGGCTTGGGGACTCTGCAGGTGTGGATTGCCTGGGGACAGTCAATGGGTGGTGAATGCTGGGCCATGCGCTGAGAGAATGTGTGTGGGATGGGATGGAGTGAATAGGATGAATGGTTAATGGCAATTAGGCCACCGCAGTGCCCCAGATTTGCCTTTGACAATTGTTGAAGGTCCTGCAGATGTGCCAGACAATGGTACAGTAAATTTAGGGAATTAATCACATAGACTGAAGGGAAATCTCACAATTTTTTCTAAAAAGAGTTAATCAATATGGTGGAAGAGCAATCAAAAGGAAAGTAGAAAAAAAAAAAAAAATAGACATACCAAAGATGTATATTTAGTAAGAATAATAACAAGATGTTATTATTTAAAATGCTGTCAAACATAGAAAAAAAAGACATTATATGAAATACAAATGGGAAGCATTTTATTTATTACCTGCTCAATGCAAGAGCTAAATAACATGATTATGCTGGTCTTGGTATTTTTCATTAAAAAAAAAAAAAGTTAAAGTAAGTATTTTGTTTTCATTCAAATATTGATCCAACTATGTAATATTTTTAATGAATCCTTTAGAACCTTTCTTTAATATAACTGACTGTTTGTGTGGATGCTTCCTCATCCATGCAAGCGTCACTATGAATAATTATTGAATAGTCTATCTACTTTCTATATACTATTTCTGAAAAAACGTATATTTTAACATGGCTGTTCAAGGATTGTTGCCCATTAAATATCACAATTTTTATAGAAATGTTTGTGGACATTTTACTGAAGCACAGAGGATCCATTAAGGAGCACATGCATGGGTTAAATAATCTGACAGGACCTAATAAAAGTATTTTTCTGGATAATCTCTATTAATCTGACAAAAAAAAAAAATACATACTACTTACTGCAGCTGTCTATTTATAACATACATTGAAGTCAAACACCTGCATTCAATGTTGTTCCCCCATTTTCATTGCGTTACTTTCATTACGCTACAGAAGTATAAAATAAATAAAAACCGGAAAAAATATTTGCTCACAGTCCAGCAGTTTTCTTTTTCAACTAACCTTTTTGAATATCAATGAATGAATGAATGGAAGCGCTTCACTTCAAAGTTAAAAGAGGAAATGAATGATTTCAAAATAATAAACACATTTCCTTGATTAAAATTAAGATAGCCTTGCTATTTAATATTTAGACGAGGTAGCTCACTAAGTTAAGGCAAGGCAAATGTATTTGTAGCCTATAGCACCATTCAGTACAAAGACAATGCAAAGTGCTTTACATGATTAAAATCTAGGAAAATAAAACAGAATTAAAAAATATATTAAAAACAAGTGGACTAAAGAAAAATAAAAAAGTTGAACTAATCGTATTTCAGTTGAACTTTTTAACTAGAACAGTTGAAGACAATCCTAAACAAATGTGTTTTTAGTCTTGAGTTAAAGGAACTCAGGCTTTCCGCACTTTTACAGTTTTCTGAAAGTTTGTTCCAGATAAAGTAGAGCATAGGAACTAAATGCTTCTTCTCCGTGTTTAGTTCTGGTTCTAGGTATGCAGTGCAGGCTGGAGCCTGAGTGGTCTGGATGTTAAGTTAAAAATAAGAAATCATCATTAATTAACAAGTATTAAAGGAATAGTACACCCAAAACATGATTAGCCTTCATTTTCTACTCACCCCCATGCTGAACAAAAATCTGGAGTACTTTTTTGATATCTCAAATGCATCTGGAGATCTGGGAGGCTTCTTGCTGTCTGCTGACATTCAAATAATGGAGGTCTAT